GCTGAAACCCTGTTGTACAGTTATAGCTGTACATCTGCTGAAACCCTGTTGTACAGTTATAGCTGAACGTCTGCTGAAACCTTGTTGTGCAGTTATAGCTGTACGTCTGCTGAAACCCTGTTGTACAGATATAGCTGTACGTCTGCTGAAACCCTGTTGTACAGTTATAGCTGAACGTCTGCTGAAACCTTGTTGTGCAGTTATAGCTGAACGTCTGCTGAAACCTTGTTGTGCAGTTATAGCTGTACGTCTGCTGAAACCTTGTTGTGCAGTTATAGCTGTACGTCTGCTGAAACCTTGTTGTGCAGTTATAGCTGAACGTCTGCTGAAACCTTGTTGTGCAGTTATAGCTGAACGTCTGCTGAAACCTTGTTGTGCAGTTATAGCTGTACGTCTGCTGAAACCCTGTTGAACAGTTATAGCTGTACGTCTGCTGAAACCCTGTTGTAAAGTTATAGCTGAACGTCTGCTGAAACCCTGTTGTACAGTTATAGCTGTACGTCTGCTGAAACTGTTCAACAGGGTTTCAGCAGACGTACAGCTATAACTGTTCAACAGGGTTATAGCTGTACGTCTGCCGAAACCCTGTTGTAAAGTTATAGCTGAACGTCTGCTGAAACCTTGTTGTGCAGTTATAGCCGTACATCCCGTTGCATTTCCTGTTTAATTATCTGCTTGAAGTTTATGTCTGCTGAGATCCTGCTGTATTGTCCGCTGCAATCTTGCTGAAATCCTGCTACACTCTCCATTAATATGCTGAAAAGCTTCCGAATACCCTCTAAATCTGCTGTTGGTACTAATAATTTTTCCACTTATTATTTTAGCTTTAGAGTATAGCAATGATTTGATAAAAAATAATGCCTTCTTAAAACCTACTATATTTATCTTAACTGTTAATAATGTCTTGTGATGGAGATTCAATTATTTCCATCTGGCTAAATTAGGGTTTGGAGCGTCTAACTTATTACTAAAGTATTATTCATCAAATTGACCACAAAGATGAAAGATTTTTATTCCCTTCACATACAATATATATATATATATCTAGTGATACAAAATTATAACACTTGTGCAACTAATGCTAAACCAGAAAAATATGCAAAGGAAACATTATACACGATTTTGAACAAGTAAGTGACTCATTCTCCTCACAGCTATAATAGGTCTCACTCAAGATCTAAAAGGTCACACAATCACCACTAGTCCACAAGCCAATATTTTTGTGTCAACCAAGTAATGAAATTTCTAGAAGAAAGAACAAAAATGTATGCTCTTGATTTACATGTTGTTATATATATACCAGCTATTGATATGTAAAGTAGGGACTTTATCTTATTTAAAGAAAAACAAGGCCCAAGGGCTTTTGAATTTAAATTACACAAAGTAGATAGGCAGAAAATAATTTTTGTGTCTACCAATATATGTGTATATATATGTATATATGTATTTTGTCTATAAGTCTTAGTTCTTCATGGACTTGAATTGAAATTGAAGCTTCTATTGCAATTAATTTTAATGATATGTATAGCTTTTAAACATACCTTTCAGATTATGTAACAAAGATTAAAACATAGGCAATCTGCTACATTTACCTGGCCCCAACTCTTTCTAACAGTACACCTTAAAAAGCAGGTGAGGCCAATCAAAGCAAATGTGTGTTTTCAGTGATGACTCGGAAATGTTAGCCTTAGGAAAGTCAGGCAAACCAATTTTTATGCATAATCTTTTTCATTTTAGATATATTGACTTGGCCAACTTACTTCAATGCTAGTTAACATCAGTATAAACTAACTACCAGCAAATGAAAAGCACCAAAATATGTGATAGATTACAATTAATGTACTGGACTGGTATATATAAATGAACTATGTATAGGGTTACCAGAATCTCAGACATTAGTTTCGCAAAAGTTTCGGGTAAATAAGCAAAAAATGGATACTTTTAAACATGACGATGCAAAACCCTTATGAAGAAATTTAAATAAAGAAATTGAAAAATCTTAGATAAGATGTTTTGTGAAACTGAAATTTACCAATTATGGCCTATTGGTTAGTAACCATTTAGACATCAAGTGGGTGAGAGAACATTGGGAACAGCCACCTACACAAAAACTGTGCTGTTCATGAGCTGTTGCATGTCCTCATGACATGAATAGCCCGTACCTGGACAATCGTAATAGGAATCCTGATATTACATAAATATATTCATGAACAGTGATCAACTTTTAAGGAGGCAAGTACAGTACTGTGGTATTGCAGTAACACAATGCTGAGTACACAAAGAGATGGTCCCCAAAGCTTATACAGATGATTATCATGTACATATATAGTAATATACCATAAATATCCTATGATCATTACCATAAATATCCTATCATACATGCTCCATAAATCGTACATTTGTACTACATGTATACAATGCAGCTGTATGTTCTATTACCACTGTGATACCACATCAATGAAAGTTATCTCAACATTTTGAAAACACAAACCAAGTCTGTAATACCCCACTATGCATACATTATAAAGAGAATGACATCATATGAAGTATGGTTTTCAATGAATTCTCACATTCCCCCCCTTTTCAAAATCATGATTATCTCAATGTAATACATCTATACATCAATTACAAGTGCATCCTATTTACTATATATCCATACTTCATACTATCTTTACATCTGTGTGTACCCTTCATTTACAATGTCATGATTATGAAAAATAATCTACCCTTTTATTTAATAAAAAGCACCTCATATTAATATATGATATGCTCAAATTAATATGGTTCATATGATCACAAACCCTAGGTTACATATACGTTGTAGTAAGATATCAATTATTTGAAAGAAAATGTTCTAGGACCATACATTCACATGATGTCCACCAAATATATCGCAGACAGTACCATATTTGGCCTTGTCACTGCTAAGTATATTGTAGACAGTAAGAATATGATTATTGCCACCTCACTGGTGGCCTGCTGGAAAAGTGTATTGTAGACAGTAAGAATATGTTTATTGCCACCTCACTGGTGGCCTGCTTGAGAAGTGTGTTGTAGACAGTAAGAATATGTGTATTGCCACCTCACTGGTGGCCTGCTGGAATATTGTAGACAGTAAGACTATGTTTATTGCCACCTCACTGGTGGCCTGCTGGAATATTGTAGACAGTAAGACTATGTTTATTGGCACCTCACTGGTGGTCTGCTGGAGAAGTATATTGTAGACAGTAAGAATATGTTTATTGCCACCACACTGGTGGCCTGCTTGAGAAGTGTATTGTAGACAGTAAGACTATGTTTATTGCCACCTCACTGGAGGCCTGCTGGAGAAGTGTATTGTAGACAGTTAGAATATGTGTATTGCCACCTCACTGGTGGCCTGCTGGAGAAGGGGATTGTAGACAGTAAGAATATGTGTATTGCCACCTCACTGGGGGCCTGCTGGAGAAGTGTATTGTAGACAGTAAGACTATGTGTCTTGCCACCTCACTGGTGGCCTGCTTGAGAAGTGTGTTGTAGACAGTAAGAATATGTGTATTGCCCCCTCACTGGTGGCCTGCTTGAGAAGTGTGTTGTAGACAGTAAGAATATGTGTATTGCCCCCTCACTGGTGGCCTGCTTGAGAAGTGTATTGTAGACAGTAAGACTATGTGTATTGCCACCTCACTGGTGGCCTGCTGGAGAAGTGGATTGTAGACAGTAAGACTATGTGTATTGCCACCACACTGGTGGCCTGCTGGAGAAGAGTATTGTAGACAGTAAGACTATGTGTATTGCCTCCTCACTGGTGGCCTGCTGGAGAAGTGTATTGTAGACGGTAAGAATATGTTTATTGCCACCTCACTGGTGGCCTGCTGGAATATTGTAGACAGTAAGACTATGTTTATTGCCACCTCACTGGTGGCCTGCTGGAGAAGTTATTGTAGACAGTAAGAATATGTGTATTGCCCCCTCACTGGTGGCCTGCTTGAGAAGTGTATTGTAGACAGTAAGAATATGTGTATTGCAACCTCACTGGTGGCCTGCTGGAGAAGTGTATTGTAGACAGGAAGAATATGTGTATTGCCACCTCACTGGTGGACTGCTGGAGAAGTGTATTGTAGACAGTAAGAATAAGTTTATTGCCACCTCACTAGTGGCCTGCTGGAGAAGTGTATTGTAGACAGGAAGAATATGTGTATTGCCACCTCACTGGTGGACTGCTGGAGAAGTGTATTGTAGACAGTAAGACTATGTGTATTGCCACCACACTGGTGGCCTGCTTGAGACGTGTATTGTAGACAGTAAGACTATGTGTATTGGCACCTCACTGGTGGCCTGCTGGAGAAGTGTATTGTAGACAGTAAGGCTATGTATATTGCCACCTCACTGGTGGTCTGCTGGAGAAGTGTATTGTAGACAGTAAGAATATGTGTATTGCCACCTTACTAGTGGCCTGCTGGAGAAGTATATTGTAGACAGTAAGAATATGTGTATTGCCACCTCACTGGTGGCCTGCTGGAGAAGTGTATTGTAGACAGTAAGAATATGTTTATTGCCACCTCACTGGTGTCCTGCTGGAGAAGAACCACTGTCTTGGTCTCGAAAAAGGTGTCTTATTAAGTGACACTTATGTGTCATTTGCAACTGGCAATGTGTTGTAAACTCTTTTGAAAACAATAGCTGTCACTCCTGACAGATACTCTATTCTACCTAATAGTAATACAGTGTCCCAACTGAATATCAGATATGGGGGTATATTTGATACATATTCAGGACTCTGTACCCCTAGATACTTATAATTAGTGCCAAGACAATTCTTGAAAACTGGGGGTACAACCATTTGTCAACCAACTGTTTTTGGGGTGAAAAATCCTCATTTGGGGTTTCTGGGAATATTGTAATAGGCAAATTACTTGTAGTCCATCTTTTAAGTAGATTTGTAGTACATGCATGTCCTAAAGCTGTTATTGTCTGAAAGCAGCAGTGGCATGGTCTGAAATGATAGTATGCCAACTTACCTTAGTCTTTCTTGTCTTGGCCAATGGTTGTGTGGACCCCTTCATACCAGCACCAATACATTTGATCTTGCAAGGCTCAATCTTTGTGGGTATGTAGCCCTCTTGATAAGGATGATTCTTCTTTTCTTCTATTATTGAAAGATCCAAAGGAGGAACTCCATTACTGGCAGCACTTGTTGACACCGGCTTTTTAGCTGGTATCATGTTAGAATTGAACACGGCAGAGGGACTATTTCTCTTCCCTCGTATAAGGTCATCTATGCTAGATGATCCACTGTCATTCTTTTTGGCAATAACATTTTTACGGGTTCTATCTAAAGCAGTTTCTTCATTAGGCTGTTCTCTTTTCTTTGGCACTGGGGAGGATAGAGCTCCATTCATGAGTCCTTTTGCCCTAAATTGACTGGGTTTTACTAAATTGTAATTAGTTTCATCATCACTATCATCTTTGTCATTGATTTTGCTTTCCTGAGTTACGTCTTTTCTGTCTTTCAAGAATCTATTAGCAATAATGGTGGGGATTCCTTTGGTTGGTCTCCCACTAGCACTGTTGAGCTCTTCATTTTTTTGGTTTAACACACCAACTGGTTCAAAGTTACTTGTTTTAGTAGCTGGGGTAGAACCAGCATTGGATGTGCTGCTTTCAACTTGTCCCTGAGTTTTGAGTTTATTGTTGTCATTATTCTGGTTTGATCGGACTGCTGGAGTGAACCGATTTTGAGTTGATATATTTGATTTTGGTGTAAGTTCATATTGCACCTTCTGTTCTACCTGTTTTGGAGCAGGCTCCACTGATCTTTCTTTTGGAGTTGTGATTTCTGCTTCAACTTTCGCTTCTTTCTCTGCAGCTTTGGTATAATCTTCTTCAACAGAATTTGAATGGCTAAGTTTTCGTGCCATTGCTTTTGGTCGTGGTGGTGCCCGCTTCTTTTCTCCCTGATTTTGAGCCTTTACATCATTTGTTGAAACAGCTATTATTGATGATGAATCAAATATCTGCTTTTGTTCCACTGGAATTTTGGGTTTCTGTTGTGTTTCTATTTTAGGTGGAATTGGAGCAACACTTTTCTTTTTGTCTGTACTAGTTGTTCTTTCAGTTTTTTCCATTTTTGTATCCAAAACTACAGAATTTTGAACAGGGGTCCCATTAGATCCTGAAGTATCTGTTTTGTTTTCCTTTTCAACAGTTATAAGTGTTACATTCTGCGGAACAGTCTGTCTTGCTTTTTTAACAGGTGCTGGCTTAGGTCCTGTTGCTACAATGACATTGGAATCAAATATGGATTTCATTTCACCAATATTTTTTTTCTTTGTCATGGGAGAGTCAAAAGCTTTCGGAGGCTTGCCAGGTATACTGCTTACATTTTCATCACTGTCAGCTGATTGTTTTTCTCTAGAATCTGTTGATGACTTTTTGCTTACAAAATTGTTTTCAGGAGATCCGTCAGGCTGTTGCAATGACACAACTGTAGCACTATTACTGGGTGAAATGGTGTCAGACGATGATACTTTTACCTTGGCTATTGGCTCTGATGATGAACCTGATGGTGAAAGAGATGATACACTTGGTGTCAATGTTGAGGTTGGATGATGAAGTGATGACTTAACATCGCCTGATTCCTGTGAACTAAGCATCTCTATTTTACTTGCCTGTTTGTCTACAACTGGTGGCTTCTCTTTCTGTGGAACCTGTGGTTTTGACCTTGACACTGGTGGTTTGGGAATTGATGCAGAAATGAACTTTGGTGACCGTGGTGCATCAGGAAGAATTTTCCTCCTGTTTACCTTTGTGTTAGCTTCAAATAATGTTCTAAATGTTGAAACCGTATTTGGTTTTGGAAGTTCACATTCTTCATTCTCACTTTTTAAAGTTTTCACATCCTGTTCATCCACGTTTTTCTGACTAGCAGGAGATTTGCGAGGTTGTTCAATGATGATGATGTCATCTGATGAAATTTGCATCTCTGGAACTTGTGGTTTTGGTGATTTTTGTTCTTCCACACTTGAACCTGAATCTTTTCTGACCAGTTCTGTTTTCTTGGTGAGAATTTTAGGTGGTTTTTGCAGTGCTGGTTTTACTCTAGTAGTACTAGTCACATCCCCATCATCTCTCAGGCTGTTACCATCCAAACTATTTCTTTTAACATCTGTACTGCTCCGTTTAGAACCTTCTGTTTGACTGTTTCCTCTCAAATAACTCTTCTGATAGGGTAAAATTACTGGTTCTATTTTTTCTGGTTGTAAAGATCCCCTCCCGAGCAGATTGTCCAGGCTTCCATATCGTTTAAGCCTAGACGCAGCACCTTGAAGAGTGTTTTCATGACTTGAAAGTGAAGTAAACTTTTTACGTAATTTCTCAACTATACCAGAGTGTGGGCTGTAGTCATTCTGTTCTTCCTCTGTGGTACAAGTACTGACACTGTCGCTGCGCGATAACTGGGGACTTTCAGGAAGTGAATCATTTATTAACTTACCATGCGGATGTGTGACCCCGCCAAGCTCCACGAAAAACGGGTTGCTTTGCACATGTTTTAAATGTGTACTGTCAATAGCCACTTTACTTTTAGGACTGGTCTCTATCGCCGAGGTAGATTCCTCCCTATCTGACTTTATATCACTTACTTCCGTAGTGTCGCCCCCTAAATTAAACTTCACTTTACCTCCATTTGCCTCGGCAGATGTGTGGGGGAAGTTATTGTTTACATGACTTGATCTACTATCTACCGAGGAACTACTACTGGATCGTACATGATCCCGAGTTTTACTGTTATTACTATTTGGGTTTACAAAACTTCGTTTCCATGTCGGAATGTCATTTATGTTGTTATACTTATCGTTGGAATGTCCTCCCGGTTCACCTGAATCATCAAACACACGTCCATTTTCCATAATATTATGCTTCCAGGATGGAATGGAAGCCATTTCCACCAGGCCAGTCATAAATACAAATGATCTGATACCAAATTCATGAAGAAAACCAGTAAGATATCTCCGGACGAGTTCTCTCGTTCTTCTCACAGACAGCTCATTTTATCCCATGACGTCACATATGTTAGGTGCGAACCCAACATTCTTTAAGGTGAAGGTCGTTATATAGGATTCTTAATTTAATCAACAATACAGTTGTTTTTTTCTTGAATAAATAAACACCCATCATTTCATGTCTTTAACGTTATTCAAGATCTTGCGTTGACGGGAAGCTTTAATTGGGCAAACTCAGTACTAAGGTTATAAATGACTCACATTCCAGGGTTGACCTTGTTTCGTTTTACCTGACCCTCTGATCAATCGATAATATTACAGGTATATTTTTTATTTTTAGTTGGTATGACAAACTGGTGTATTTGATAATTATTTACATATTTTTTGAAACATCACAGCTTTACTTTGCCTTCACTTTGAATGGAACTAACAATACCGTTATTATCACCAATGGAAAAGAGAAACTTAAACCGGAAGCACACGGAAGACGGAAGTAGGCCGCGAAGCTCGTTTCCAAGAGCAACGTCACACAGAGAACGACGCCAGTCTGGTGGTTTGTAGAATCTGTCAATAATTTACCAACACGTAACGGGATACAGAGACCAGTTAGGCTTTGACAGCCATTGTTTGTGTACGGAGGTGAAGTGTCTTATCCGCAAACATGCTGGGAACTAAAGCAGCAACCACCATAGGGCCCGAATCGTGGAGAAACAGTACATTGAAAGGGATAAAAATATCTCAAACAATCGTTCAAAAGAGTGACAAAAGTTGTGATGTGGGACGGGTCTTTGACCCCCTCCCTCATCTCCGAGATACAGTGGCCCAATTGAGCAACGATGAAATTCACAGATATACGAGAGAAGTTAGAATTGTGGTAGCCAGACTCAGGGAGAGTCTTTTGGACACAAATGAAGAAATAAAAGCCCTCTCCAGGGGAAGAGAAGCACTTGAAAAATCCTTGGAACACACCAGAAAGGATATAAGGTTGAATAAAGACAGTCAAGATATAAGAGTATCCAGGCCTTCAAAAGAAAGGGTATGTTTACATGATAAATGGCACTTAATGTTGCATTATGTAAAATTTGCACTTCAGATTATATGTACAATTAGGATAGTTTAAATTGGGTTGACTTCATGACAGATTGTCATGGATGTTAATAGGTGAGTGCTGATTGACATCCCACTAAAAATTAACAATTTCTGCATCTTTTTTTCCATATTCACCTGTTATTAAAGTAAGTGTACAGCTTATTTGCTATTCTATTCTGTTGAACAAGTGTGTGTAGAAGTTTACAGAGAATCAGCTAGGTTCAAACTGTATCATCAGTCACCAAAACCTGGTGACTGATGATAATATACAAAATAGGTTGTTCTAGAGTTTGAAGATGGTCTAAAATCATAAAAATGGGGGGGGGGAAGGAATTGTTATAAATTTATATGTTGGAGAGACACGTTTTTTAAGGAAAAAGTCAAGAGGCTGGAAATGGAGATCCTGAAATCTAGAAAGCCACTCAAGATCTACCACTGCAATGTTCAGGGTACTATGCTACTCCTATAACATAAGAGGGTGATGGTCTGCCTTTTTTCTATCGGATACAATTTTGCTGACACGGCGCCTGTCCAAAGTATCTCGCTGTGTAAACCTCTAATAGTAATACTGTTGGAGTAGGTACTATGCCTAGTCTGACATGTTATGTTCTTACTAATACTATTCTATCTAAGTAAACATTCCATTTTGTCAATATTGAAAGTGTAGTATAAATAATGTTTCAACCCAAAGTTAAGATGTACTTGTTGTATCCCTTTATCATCTAGCATAAGTTTTCAATGTTCTTCAAATTCAATTGTTTTTGTGATTTGATGTTGTCTAGTTGTATTTAATACATTGTAATTTCATGAGAGAGGAAAACAAGAGCTGGGTTGTCTTACATACATTGTCATTTTATATTGTATTTTAATAGTACGTTGTAATACAAAATAATATGTAAAGGTTGGGGGTCATGACTAGCAGTGGCACATGTATTGAAGACTCTAGAAAGTGTGTACATTTGTATCAATGCAATGATACATAAGTTATCACCAATTTAGATGTAAATTGTTCAGACATTTTTTTCTCTACCATGACACAGCAAGCAGCTAACATTTCCATTGATCAATGAACTTCCAGATAATGTGAATCAGGCTTGTATAACAAAAGCCTTTACTTATGGACACCAGCCATGTGAAACTTTTGTGTTTATTGAGGTATTGTATTGACTAAATAAAAGAATGGCAAAAGCTTTTAACAGGTAACAATTACACATGACCCATGATCGTAATTTTTAACACCTTTAGTAACTAGCAACCAACACAATGTAATACTTTAGGAACTTCTATTATTACCTCTTTTCTTTCTTTGAAAATATGTTTTCAGCTGCGGTATATTGTTCTCTTAGAAAGCAGTTATTTGCAGAACTATTGTCAGTTGAGTTGTAATTAAAGGAAATCTTGATTTGTGAATAAAGATACCATATCAGGTATTTTAAAAATTTATGTGAAAACACACATATACAAAATTTTATGATAAACATAGCTGTTAAAAAATTAGTTGATCATTTTTCTTCAAAATATGTCCTTGAATCCCAGAGGATTATTTTTCTTTCTATAATCACTGGGAATGGTTGTAGCCTCATCTCTATGTTGTTACTGTAAATTTATGCAGAAAAGTTTGTAGGGTGTTGTTTTTTGCAATTTAGTTAAACATGGTCAATTATATATATATGTTGATATACTTTTTATGACCTGTGAATCTGATAAATTGCTCATTGTTTTTCAAGTTATTTTAAGTGTGGGAGTCTATTTGAATGGTACATCGCCGTAACAAACATGTATACATTATTTTTGTGAATGAAATTTCATGCTTACAGTACCTATAAGAGCATGCCATGTTTCTCTGTGGTGCTGCTAGACAATTGATTTTTTCAGATAGTTTCTATCTAGTATTAAATGTTCAGTAATTATTGAATGTAAATTAAAATGATTTTTATAAACTAAGATGTTCATCACAAGGATTCTTGCATGACATTTTGCACTGTAAGTGTACAGCAATGGTTGTAAAGACTTGGGAGGTGTAATTCAAGATGTATTAGTCCATGACCTGAGGACTGGTTAGGGAGTTCAAATAATCAATTAAAAAAGTCAAACTTTCTATAGTGTACGTGGTATGATATAATTTAACGTGCCACAAATCTTGCACAATCTTGTAAGTAATCTATACCCCAACCCCCAAGATGTTGTAATATACTGTGGTCATTGTTTTATTCTACATACTTCTAGAATTACTCATGTGAAAAGAAACTGATATTTTAATGTTCAACATATATTGAATTTAAAGATTTAAAATAAAACAGATTGAAAGAACTTGTACAACCAAAGTCATAAATAAGTTAGGATTTGTTTAATAACAATTCAATATAAAAAATTCAAAATTTTGGTCAAAATTTTAAATGCTTAAAATGAAATAAATGAAAATATATGTTTATATGGCATAAGTCATCTTTCCAAAAGAAGTAGAAGAAATTTTAAAGAAGATTATTGGTTATCGAATATTTAAAGAAAAATTAAACAGCCCAATGAGGTACATGTACCATCAAAACTAATAATGTATTATGTGCAACATCTGAACAGTTTGAAAACTCCCTAACAATACTAGGATGATAAAATATATAGCAGTCGAGTTTGTGAGTATTAGCAGACATAGATGAATACCTGATTGTAAATAAAATAGAACTCTCTGTAGTATAAATCATTAAAATTGAATTAGGCAGATATAAATTGACATTTGCCCGGTACAATAGCATTGCTATATGGTGGAGATTAGGCTTTATGCACCCAGCACTCCATGGTTACTATAGGCTAGAAAGGTTGGATTAGAGAAACTGTTAGGTTGGGTAAATTTACTGGTGAATAATTTAAGAGCAACATGTATCCAACTTATTGTATGGAACCCATTATACGAAAAAAGGCAATCTAACTTGTGATTGGTATTTGGTTAGCCACAGAAATCAATACAGTGTAAGTTACAATCATATGATCAATGGCCAGTATTCAATCAAAAACAATTTACATCTATCATGGTAAAAAAATGAATGTATCATTGCTGATAAACATATATACATGTATTTTAATTTCTTTGAAATAGATATTCCCACAAAAATATTGGGTAAAAATTAGGAATCTTCACACTGGTCAAGGGGAGATAATTTACATATTTTGTATACTGTCTGTATTTTCCCGAAATATGTTTGTTACAACACTTGTGCTCAACCAGTTTCATTTCATTAGAAATAATAGCATTAGATTCACTGTTTTTCTACATGCATATAGCATTTTTGAAGAAAAAAAAGTAAAGAAAAAAGAATCAATCAGTTTACTTGAAGATTTATACATCATATATATATATATATATATGCATCAAGATATATTTTTTTTTGACAAGATTGAGATTATTATTTAGTGAATATTTCTTTTTTTCAAATATTGTGAAAAACAGCCTTATCCAAGTTTATCTGTAAGACAAGTGGTTTATACTTGAAGTCTTTCTTTGCTCCAATGTGACAGCATAACATGTAACGTTAACCGGACGGTCTGGCTCATTACCATTTTTGACATCACTGTGATGTCCAACATTATAGTGATAGAGAGATACCGTTACAAGATCCTTAAATGACTTAAGCTGTTGATGTGAAACCCTATAAAAAAACATTGCAAGACTTTGCTTGGAATGCCTTTGATATTTTAAGCATTGCATGGCCAAAAAAGAGTTGGAAGAGCACAGAACAGGGGGTGCATCAAAAAAAACTTGGGTTGGATTTTGAAAAACTTACCCTGCGTATATGTAGCTGATTGGAACATCAGGAAAGATTAGAAATGATCACATGTAAGCAGTGAAATAATTAAGTTAATTGACATATAAGTATAATATTATGAACTGTGCATATTCAAAACCTATTTTTATTAATTATGAAAGGGGCTTTTTGTTTCATTTTGGGAAAAAAAGCCCCAAAAATTCCCAGATAAAGCCATGGTATTATAATATAAAGTATATATTCCAAATGAATATGACTTTATGAGAGACCAGTAATTATAGTATTTATGGGCCGTGTTAGTGTCAACTGTTTGCACTTGGGCTGTGCATTATTTAATATCTCAGTATTTCAATCATGTTTGATAATGTTAAGAAGCAATTATCTTTGGCTGTGAAGTGTATTGATTTAGCTGCATACAGTGGAAGTATAGCTTCCTCTGTTATTGCCGATGGAGTGAGGAAAATAACTTAATAAATCAAAAGCAGAAAATTAGCAAAAAATTGCTTAATTACTTTTCCATGTTTGAAGTGTCAAATTTGGGAAATATACTGTCAATTTTAAACCGCTATCAGAACATGCATCAAAGTATAGAATTTTTCCATTGATTTTCTTTATCATACAATGTACATGTATGTATTCCAATATATTTAATGGCTATGAATTTCCAATGACATTTTGATCCCAAACTCCTTCCTTCCAAACTTGCCAGGTACTGGCCATAGGTCAGAGGTTTTCTTCTGGAACTCCAGCTTTCCTCCACCACCAAAACCTTGCACGTCCTTAAATGACCATCGCTGTTAATAGGACATAAAAAACAAACAAAACAAAATAAATCCAAATTTGATCAAACCAAAATCGAAATTGTTTCTTTTTCTTTAGTAGAAAATATTACAGGATTTTCTCTGAGATGTACACTCTGAATCACGCTTAGTGTATCAATGATCAATTGATATTTTAATTATCATATCTTATTTATATAACTATAACTTCTAGGAAAGAAGAAACTATTACTGTCTGGCTGGTTGTTATAGATTATGAACTTCTTAGCTATCAATCATCAGGTAACCTGGTGGGGATGATTTAATGCCAGTTTACTGTGCCTCGGTGGTCCTCAGTGTAACAGTTGCTATAGTGCCCACTGCCTAGCAGGTTATCACATTTCAGTAAGATAGCACTTTAAAGTGGCCCTTGTGGCCTCCATCATCTGGAAACAGTCTTCCATATTTTACTGTAGGGAGGAGACAAAATCTGAAGACAAAAAAAAAATACACAAAAAACACAATGACATCAAACATGTTAAATAACATAACCTGGTTAATGTAATCCAATATATCTATATATCAACAAAACCGACCACAGACCACAACACAGAAATACCAAAAATATGAAGGATTAATAGAGTGGCATCAGTATAAACAAAGATTGACCCAAGAGATATGGATAAAAAGAGGTAGAAATGGTAGAAAACATAAAAAAGGCAATAAAACAAATCAGCAAAAGATAAGAAATAAGGGCATTAGAACATTGAGAAAGAGGCCACTGTGCTACAGCATTAACAGCTACCAGTCGACCGGTTTATGTTTACATACATCATCAGCTGTTAGGTAGCTTAATGGCTGGTCGTAACCAATGTAAACAAAACAATTGTCTGGTTACCACACCTACAGGTGGTGAGGCTTGTAACAATGAATTATTAAGCCAATTTCCCTACACACTAGTCATTTTCCTGCCCCAAGTATGTAAGCTAGAACCGCGCAGCGCTGTGCAATTGTTTTGTAAATTGTCAAAGTGAGACTAGACTTAATTGAATTGTTCAAATACTGGTCAGAAAGTTACATATAATAGATTGTTTGAAAGTATGGGGTGATAGCTAGTTATAACAGTTTGACAAGATGCTACATCTGTATCATGTAACACTGGGTTTACCAAATTAAGTTAATTAACCCACTATCATAAACCCCAGAAATGATTTACCTGGGTATTGGGTTTATTTTTCGTCTTTGGTAAAGCCTTAGGTTTCACTGTGCTATAAGTCTGGATTCACTGATAAATGTGTGGCTACAGATATAGAACAATAAACCAGTACCACCAGCTCAGGGATTGGGATATGAATAATTTAGATGTACCTATTGGTATCTAGGTAAAGTAAGTGATCCCACAGTCCTAGGGTAATGTGTATTGTTAATGTTTTGTAATACTTTCCTTTCCTATGTACCCAGTAATGCATTGCATGTAATATACTGTTAATGGACATTTTTATCATTACAAAATTAAGTAAAAAATTCATTGCACTAATTACTTTGAAAATATATGCCTGATGTTCGTTTACAGATAATGAGTCTTTAAAGGGAATTATATTAAAAACATTTATAGTTTCCACTATTAATATTCAAAGATGTTTCGTACAATAACTATTTTTTACCAAACAATTATAATGTGTAGTTTTGAGCATCACATGCTGTATTACTTAAATAGGGATTGCATTTTATGTTAACACTTTTTGACATTAGAACTTTTCTTATTTTTGTAAAACTATTATTCATAATGCATGGCAAATTAAATCAATTGTAATATAATCCAGTACTGAACTTGAAAAAAAAAGTATTTTTTTAATGAGTGCTTACAGTGTAATGTTTAATATTGCAATTTGGACATCGGTTCCCAGGTCTAGTACCCCAGCCATGCTGGATCATTCATTCCACCTTTATCGTGTTGAACAATGACATTGGTTCCCAGGTCTAGTACTCCAGCCATGCTGGATCATTCCACCTTTATCGTGTTGAACATTGACATTGGTTCCCAGGTCTAGTATCCCAGCCATGCTGGATCATTCCACCTTTATCGTGTTGAACAATGACTTCGGTTCCCAGGTCTAGTACCCCAGCCATGCTGGATCATTCCACCTTTATCGTGTTGAACAATGGCATTTCTATAAAGCTAATTCAAAAGGTGCAGGGTGAACTTTCATGAACTGTTGGCAGTAGAATCGGTAATGGAGATGTAGGTGTACTGGAGAGTTGCCATGGAGCCAATCTATTGTGACTAGTATAGGGGGAAGTTTGTTTGTTGAAATAGACCACTAGCACATTTCCTATGCTAGCCTGTAGATTGTGCTAGGGAGGTTTACCATTGATAGGGCCAAACATCCTTACCTTTAGTATGTATTGATTCTCTCCTTAATTAAAACTGGCACACAGAAATCTACTTAGCTGAACCAGACTTGTAACAAAGGAATGGTACTTCATTCAGAGAACAACAGGTTGTCGCTTCTTTTTAAGAAGAAAATGAAATATATATATATATATATTATTTTGTACATATTCTGGTATATAAATTAACCTTCTTCTTGTGAATATTTTTCTATACACATATGGAAAATCTTCAATAAGATTGATCAGTTTAGAATGGTGTATCAATGTTTTAATTCTGACACAAACAACTGTCGTTTAATATGTACATTGTTTGTGTCAATAAGTAAAACCTTTATACACACATACGAGGACAGGTTTTAGTCCTTCCAGATAATTTTTGGCTATGATAATCAGTTTGACTGAAAATAGATGAATTCGATGAGAATGAGACTGTTATTACTATACAGTCTATAAAATGTGTAATAGTTACTACCGCTAGTCCTAAGTGACCTCTAGGGCAGATTCTACATATTCTCTTGTATCAATTACCAGGTTGAAGTTGTTTCTTTTAATTGTTTTAGTTGTCATATCCCTAAAAAAATAAGATCATATAACACAAGATTAAAACAATTTACATGTCTCAAAATGTCTTAACATAGAAACAATGGAATTAAGACAATGGTATTGATATACCTGATTGTACTAGTGCACAGAACTTGGTAAAAAAAAATCTAACTTGTCTATAATAGTAAACTTGGTATATTAGTACTTGAAATATCAATGAACTTGTAAAACAATTGTTTAGATACTATAGTATAAAGTATTTGTAAAGAAGACTGTTTTATATTTCTTATTATAGCTAGTCTTCAGTACATACATGTACACTGCTCGAAAAGAAAAAATCTATTTTGTGTATGGTAGGCTGAGTAAAAGTGTTATTATCGTTGATTTGTGTGGCTTTATTTTGGAGTAACAAAGGTGTATAATACCATAAGAGCGTCTGGAGAACCGTACTTGGTTATAATACAAATACTTACCTAACAATAGCAACCATTCATGGTTACACACCTCTAAACACCCAGGTCAAAGGTATGTGTTAGGTATACAGACCAAACCTCACCAACAAACGGTAATACACTGTATATGGATAAAGGTTTAAACTAATGCAATTCCATAAACAAGGCACAGCTATTGTTCTCTCCACTGGTAAATCTGGCAAACATTTTTTCAGATGTTGTTCTCTATCCTATGGCACCTATATATATACACATATAGTTTATAAGGCACAATTGTTAACCATGCTGACACATATCTCTGTGCTATCAGATATAGCTATGGGTACCTTATGCCAAGCTATACCTTGTGTGAGATTGCTGTACTATAAGGCTTGTTATACAACTTTAGCACATCAAAAGGTTATGCAATACAATTTGTACATACATGTACCCCATTACACTGTAATAAGACTACCAGCCAAATTACTGTTAAACTGATTTCTACATTAAACTTTTAATACAAATAAAAGTTTCCTTTCATTTTAATAAGTTAATTCATGTACATGTAATTAGAATTGAGTATTTTAATTTTCTTTGCTTATAGTTTCTCCATTTTTTTCCCCTCTCAAATAATTTACGTCCATACCAAGATTGATAAATGATATATTTTTTATCATTTCAGGAACATGATGGAGCTGATGATTTACTCAATGCTGAGCGAGCTCACCTGTTGAACTGTAAAAAGGCACTAGAGGCACAGCTGAAGTCTGTCCAGCAGCAACTTCAGGTGAGGCCTGTCAAATAGCCACCCTACTCTGGTCATTATCATGTGTCAGTATAGAACAAGAATAAAGTTAATAATCTATTGAACTTTATTTTTAAATGCACACTTTCAGTATAGTATTGAAAATACATTTAATATCAGTGGCCTTGTCATATGCATCTTCCTAGCGTGCACTACATAACAGTAAAGCTATTATTATAAGAATTATTTCAGATTTAACAGTATGTAAGGAATAAAATTAAGCAAAATGGTGATAGAAAAATCTGGACAATTTCTGATCAAAAATGTTCTTTAGTTACAAATAATACCAAAATACTAATTGTAATTAATATTCATTTGTAGTACATGTACCAGTGAAAGACAACTACAGATTAGCATATCATTCCTATTGAAGCTTTGAATTTGTATAATTTTCCAATATTGATGTTATAATTTGAAATTGTAATGGTAAATAGCTATAGGTTAGTATTTAATAGTTTTTGATGTAGTTAACTTACCTACATGATTATCTACAGTAACATATATATAATGTTATCATGTGATGTAAAAATCTAGTTGTGTTGTGCATACTTACTTACAGCAATTTGTAATGTTTTGCCTAACTTACATGTGCCGTTGTGTTATTTGTAGGTACTAGATGCCGCGCGTCGCCGCCTCTTTGCCACCCTACAGGAGCGCTCACGTGTGTTGGACCTGCTGAACCATGCCCTATCTTCAATCAGTAACACTGCAAGCTGTATGGCAGGCCCAGGGAGCCTTCACCGCAGTAAAACCTCCCTCGATGGCCGTCTGTCTCGTCTGGCACTGGCCACCACTCAGGCTGATCCTCTGGGGCCCTTCACACCCGAAGCTGACCAGTCGCTGTTGGATGCTGAGGAGGCGAGATCCAGGAGTGGCTACCTCAGGAGGGAACTTAAGGAGGCCATCGAGAGGACAGAGAAACTAAAGGAGGCTGCTCACAAGTCTGTAAATGACGGCATCACACAGAAACTCTCGGAGACTATCACACTGAAAGTAAGAGTTCTGCAGATTTTATTGCATTTACATATTTCATCTGTAGGATTATTTGGAGTTAAGTTAAATTTTTCATGAGAACATATAATTAAGATTAGCATGCAATGTAAGAACTAGCTATCAAAGAGCTTCGCGAAAAACAGAGACAGCAAACCCCTGGTAAACAGGAATTTCACCAGCGACAATCCCTGGAAACAGGACTATGTCCAGTGATGACCCATGAAAACAGGTTTTTCACTGGTGATAACCTCTGGTTAATAGGAATGTTACCAGTGATAAACCCTGGTAAACAGGAATTTCATCAGTGATAACCCATGGTATACAGGTTTTTATACGCCCGTCGAAGACGGGGACGTATTATGTTATCACGTGACCGGGCGGGCGGGTTGGCGGGTGGGTGGG